CTTCGGTTCTAGTATTTCCTAGATTTTCCATCAAATATCCCAAGCTAACTGGCTTTAATCCCATTTACCTTACTTCACTTAATCATAGTGCTATCCAACATATAATATAATGGAATCTGTAACATGTTATATTTTTATTTTGGAAATTTCCAATGTTTATAAGGGTAAAATGATAAAATTAAGTGAATTTCTTATTAATAATATTTTTGGGAGGCTAATGTATCTAATAGATCATTAAACAGCCTTACAAGAGGGCTATATTAGAGTTTGTGTGGGTTGTATCATAGAGAGAGAGAGAGAGATTCAAATGTTGTGGAGCTCTCTATGCCATATGCTGCAGCAAGCGTGCCAATGCCTCATGATGCATGTGCAAATTTTTGCATTTATCAGCTCACGAAATCAAATAAAAAATGAGAAGTGGGATAGAGAGAACACGAGGAGTTGACAGGAGACGATCGGTGGGTGTTAGGGCTCAACCTTAGGATTGTTTTTAAAGCATTTAGAGAAAGATTTAGCGTTGGATAAGCTTCTTACACTTTTCCCTCTCCTTATATTCAAACTTTTTTGATAATTAGGGTATTGTGCAGTTATGATTTCATATTTTCTTAGCTAATGGATGAACTCCTTACCTTAGTTAAGGTCTTAAGGAGTTAAATCAAGCCTCTAAATCTATATTTATGGATTATATAATGATTTGGAGTTGTTAGTTGGGGTTTGGATGAACCTGAAGCCAAAATTGAATGATTAAGAGTAATGTGGATAATGTAATGGTGTTATCTATGTATTGGGATGTTAAATAGGATTAATAGAGTATGTTGGAAGAATCGTTAAGGCTAAATCAAGGTTTTGGGTATTATGAGTACCTAAAATTGTATTATAAATGGGGTGATTAGTGTATAGATTGACAATTAAGGATCTAATCTTATAAATTAGCCTTTGATCAAGCACTATGGTGCATAGTGGATACATGTGGAGCCATTAGTTGACCATAATAACCCTTTTAGTGACAAAAAGGTTGAGGTAACTAGATTGTCTAATCTCCATTTTTGTGTATTTGGATGATAATGTGTTAGATTTCAAAGTTAATGCTTTAGTTTGGTACTAGCATAGTAATAGTACGAAATTATAATTTTAAAGTTATGTGAAGTAGAATGAAAAGTTGTTTTAATGTTTTAGTATTTGGAAAGTTGAATGCTATTTTTATGTATAACTACTTGTGAAATTCTATGATTTAAGTGGAAATGAGAAATTGTGATAAATTATATGTTATGACAATGTGTTGGAGCATTGAGTATGTTTGGCATGATCATTATGAGAGAGTGGTTGTTGGGAAATTGTTTGAAAATTCATATGGTACATTGGCATCGTGGGCCTCGATGCTCAATATTATATTGTTTAGAAGTCCCAATACTACGTGAGGTAGGTTGAGCATTGACACCTCTAGTCTTCGTGGACAGGGAGAATCTGTGGTTTATAATAGGTGAAGGTGCTTTTGGCTGAGGCTGCCTCCTACTAATGGTGAGCTTGGGCCAGTCCAATCATGTGGACTTGGTCCTATCAAGTTTTCAACCCATAAATTCAGTCGGAAGACATAAGGAGAGTATAAGGTAGTATGTTGATCGTGCATATCATACTATAGTCATTTGTGTAGATCTATGTGACTATGTGACTTACTACATGTTTTATTATACTACTTCACATATACACAAACTATTCTCACACACGAGTAGTTGATTAGACTATTTGGTTACTAAGTCCTTGACTCACCCTGTTGTTACATTTTTCAGGTGAAAGCTTTGATAAGGGCAAGGAAAAGGAAGGTGTGACTAAGCATCGAGGGGATTAGCCAGTTTGTATAGTCCCTTTCATTTATTTTGGTTTGTAACGAATATTGTATGCTTATGCTAACCTAGGATAAATATTATTTTGGGATGCACTTACATGATTACTGTTGTTATTGGTGGGTATCTCAACCTGGGATTTGTTAATTGCATTGTATTAGCTATGAGAAGTCGAGATACTAGTACAAGTATTAGTTTTTTATTGATTCAAGTGTTAAATTGGCCATTGAATTGATTATGTATGTTGTTACACCTAATGAAAATTATGCTAAATATGGGGTTTTAGTGGCTAAATCTTGTCTGGGTTGTTATTGTTGTGATTTGAATGGTTGTATAAGTTGTTTGTGGTCCAATTGAGTTGATTCAAGTAGTCTCGTGGGTATTGGCACTTGGTTTAGGAGTTTAGACACCTTGTTAGTGATTTTTGGAAAAAAAATGTGTCATTTTAGGTTTAGATATCCAAATCTCATTCGACTCAATGTTTGGGTGTGAGACTGTTGCCAATAGCTAGATAGCTCTAAGAGCTACATGTGGATACTCGAATTGCTTAAATTGGATGTCAGACATGCTTTGAAAGTTTGCTATCATGAGAAGGGATGCGTGAGGCACAGAGAAGAATGTTTCCCTCTCTGTAGTCTGTCGCAGCAAACAACGCATTATGCAACGGTGCTTTGTGCCCCAGTTGCTGTAAATCTTTCTTTTCTATTCATTATTCTTATGTAGTGAATTTCCTATTCTTCCATTATCTTATTTATTTGGTTTTAAACTATAGTAAATGATCTTTCAAAAAGGGTTTTTCTTGAGATCTTGTTTTTCTTAAATACTTTTAATCCTTGGGTTATGATTGCTATTTATAGGATTAATAAAATCTCGGTTATCATACCACTATTTTGTGTTTGGTGTCATGTGTGTTTAGTAATGCCAAGGATGACGTTACAGAATCAACAAATGAATAATGCCATTAATCAAACCTCAGACAGGTCACTTAGCTATCATTGTTTCAAAATGAAGGAAAAAGAAGGGGTTGAGCATAGTAATGGAAGTTGATAACTCTAACCAAAGAATGGATAACAATGATGGTGGGATTAATGTGATTATGTACAAATACAATTTTTTTTCCTTGGCAGTTCTCAACTATTAGTTTGCCTGAAGAGGAAGATGGAGGAGAAAGGGAAGAGAGACGGGATGGAGATGAGAGTAGTGTGAGGGATGTTGGTGTCCAAACAAAGAAAAAAGGATGCACCAATGTGTTCTCAGGGTCACATAAAGGAGTTTTTGGGGTTTAATACAAAATTATTTAAGACGCCTAATATATTATCATTCATTTATTTTCATATTATTTTTTCAATTTATTAAGACTAGATTCAAATTTCCTATTTAATATTTTTGCCACTTCAAATCCTATAAAAAAAATTAAAACAAACACAATTTTAAATAAAAAGTACAAGAAGAATAAACACACATTATATGACCAATATGTGATATCAGTGTTTTTTTGTTTAGGTTAAGGTTCAATTTTGCCCTTGTACTTTTTTTTTTTGGAACATTAGGCATCTTATACTCTTAAGTAGATTAATTTTATCCTTGAACTATTTTTCACAGGAGCAAATGTGCATGGGGCCTATGCACAATAATATGTAAGACTTTGGCTATATGTTTTTGTGCTAATTTGCCTTTGAACTATTTTTTTAGAAGTACTGAGCATCCTAAACTCTTTTTCTAGGAGCGTTGGGCACTTTAAAATCTTATTAAAATAAAATTTAATAAATATTATTAAAATATTAAATATTTTAATATTTAATAATTTAAATACTATTATTTAAAACATTACACCACCAAATTTAATATTTTTAATATTTAAATATTATTTTTTTATAGCATTTTATAAATTTATAAATGACTTCTTATTTTTTTATATATCGATCTTCAATCTTCTATCTAATACAGTACCAAATTGTTACGCCTTTTATGCATGCCAGAACTTATATTTTTAACATTGGTTAAATTCTTAACTTTTTTTATCAACTAATGATCTTCTAAAATATTACATTACCCAAATTTAATACTTTCTGTATGTTGCAATATTGGTAGTAAAATCAAAAACATGACAAGTAAGGACCAACAATATGACAACAACAATATTTATTTAAAAGATATGGCTTATTCCATTAACGTGTTACAAAAAAAGTTACTTAATAAGAGAAAAATAGAGGAATGAGGAAAAAAATTCATTCATTAACCTAGAGGTCCATTCACTTTATTTTTAATACAAAATTACAAAATATTAAAATATTAAATTGGGTGTTGTAATGTTTTAAATAATAATATTTAAATTATTAAATATTAACATACTTAATATTTTAACATTATTTATTAAATTTTATTTTAACAAGATTTTATGGTAACCAGCACTCTTAAGAGAAGAGACTTTAGGATGCTTGATGCTCATAAAAAAGAGTTTAGAGGCAAATTAACACCAAAAAACATAGTCAAAATTTTACATGTTACTGTGTGCGGGCTCCACGCACATGCCACATTAGTAGAAAACAAAAAAATTAATGGGCGATTAACGGAAGGGGTTTTTTGCTCCTTCAAAAATATTTAGGGGTAAAAATGTCCCATTTAAAAGTATAGGATACCTATCACTCCTAAAAAATAAGTATAAAAGTAAAATTGAACTTTAACCCTTTTTATTTTTAATTAAAACTTTTATTTTTAAATAAAAATATATAATGACCCATCATTCAAAATATAGGTAAGTATCTTTTGGCCTAAGGCGACTGCCTCATTGGCCTAATAGTTCACACAGCCTTGTATGTTTTGTTGTAAAGTCAAGACTTTTATTTTTTATAAGGGCAAAATATTTTTTTTGCTTTACAATTTATTAATAAAAAAGTTTCCTAAGACTTGAGGGAAATTATAGCATTTCGATAATAGTCATACATATATTTTGGTGGAATTTTCTATCATTTTCCCTAATTATATATATATATATATATATATTGGTAAACAAGTTATTTATATTTTAGCTCCTTTTTTTGTTTTGTGCTTCCATCATGCAATCTTTACGGACCTGGGCCTGACCCGACAAGCTGGCTTCGGCCATAAGCCATCCCAAAGATCACTGATAAATTAGAAATCCCCGCGTATTTTCGAACCCAGCAGGGGCAAAGCAACAATGGTCTGAAGGCGTTGTTTGGAATTCCCGGTTCCTCATGCTCGGATTCTCCTCAGCATATGGTGATTCGTGAAGCCATGAATAGGCTCTCTGATTACCGTTATTTTCTTCTTCTGATTACGGAGCTATACTAGGGCTTTGCCGATTACGTGTGGTTTCTTACTGTGATGGTCATGGGAAAGAGAAACTCCCTGGTTGTTTTATCCTCGGATGATGAAGATGATCGTACTACGTTTTCCTTGGGTGGGAGTAATAGCTATGCCAAGTCCAAGTCCAAGTCAAGGTCCGCAAGCGCAAGAGGAAAAAAGAAGGCCCGCCTTTCGGGTTCTCGGGTTCCATCGTCCAAAAACTCGAGCAAGTTGCATGAGGTATAAATGGATCGATTCTGGCTTAGATTTAGTTATTTAAGCAATTTAAGATATAAAGTAAGAGCTGCTGTCATGGTTCGTTATGAAGAAACAGTTGAACTAAAATCTGAATATATACGCTATGGTCTCTTGTGTTATTTTGTTTTTTGTTTTTTTTTCTTTAATTTCCAATCAATGTATAATTTCCCTGTTATCGTCAATTTTCTGGATAAGACTTGATTTGAAGTTACTGGCTGTGTGCTCCTATCATTAGAAGTTTCTTATGCATAACTTCCCTTGCAGCTCTCTAGTTCTACTCCAGCTTCATTGTCTTCAAATATTTATTTATTTATATTTCTTTTCCTTTATATGTGTGAATACTTGTATTTGAATCTAATATCCCAATTTCAATGTAGATCAACCATCTTGGAGAAGACTTCAATGAAGTGTTTACTGGGTTCAATTCGTCTGCTGGTACGCTGCTGCTGTGTTCTACTTTCTGGTTAAATCAGTGTAGATAGGATAGTTGTGCCTTTTCTTTCTTTGGTCATAAAGCTATGAAATTCCTTGAGCAATAAGTTATCCGTCTTACTAGTTACTTTGTTTTACTACTAATAATGAATAATTAATATTATATGTCCAATGTTAGAAGTCAAAACACACCAATTTTAAAACAGGGTCTAGACGAGTGTATTGTGTTGAACCTGTTTAGAATTTAGATACTACAACTAGACCACTAGCCTTCTTTCGGGTCTGAATTTTTCCTCCTTCTTTAAGAAGTACGTGTTGAATTGATGTGTAAGTGCACACCAGGTACGCAAAGGAGCTATGCAGGGGAGTTATGGGTTCATAAACACAAGCCCCATTCTCTGGAAGAGCTTGCTGTTCACAAAAAAAAGGTCAAGACTCTGAACTTTAGATTTGACAGTGTGAATGACTTCTCATTCTCTTTGTTGTTTTTGCAGGTTGAAGAAGTTAAGATGTGGTTTGAGAAAAGGTTAAAACCTTCTAAGGTAAATATTGGATTAAAACTAAAAGGGAGTAACCATTTATCATACTTTGTAAATTTTTCTTTCTCTTCAACGTGGCAAGAATGTCTAGTTTCTTTGGTCCCTTCTTATGATTGATTAGCTAAGAATGATTTTGTCAATGAGCTATTTAGTTTTATATTTTTGTATTGTATGTATAAATTTGTGCGCATGGCATGCTCACACACGTGCATAATAGTCATCTTGGCATGCCTTGTGAACCTTGCTACTGTACAACCAGAATGATATTACTTTCTAAGAATCTGACATGAATAAGAAGGGTGTATGCGATGCAGAAATTAGAAATATCACCTAGGAGAAAAAATAGAGCTGCATTAGTTGTTTATTGTAAATCTATTATTCTTAGACAAGTCTACACTTCAATTTTGATTTTAATATTTCAGCACTTCTTTTTAATTAGCATAAAGTCTACGCTAATCTGTAATTTTGTTGTTTGCATTGCATTAACATTGTGGGTCTCTTATTTCATTGTTTTTGTACTTTTACAGGGTGTCTACAGCAGTAATGTTCTTCTCATCACTGGGCAAGCTGGAGTGGGAAAATCTGTATGCAACTCTTTCTGTACCCTGTATATTGTTAGGGGCTTCTTTCATGTCCTGGAATAGCAAAACCTGGAAACTCAGATTACTAATTATAACTTTTTGTTGTGTGACCTGTTGTGATGGTAATGTTTGATGCTGGAAAATGTGGATTGGAGGTTTTTTTTTTCTTTTTCTATTTTCCCCTAAAGGCATGGATCCTCATAATATTGAGATTTTACCTAAATATGAGTATTAAAATGATTAACTATTCATTCTTTACTGCTAGTTGCACTGGTGAATATTTTAAGTGTTCTGAGTCTATTGCTAAGCTTAGATGTTAGGTGGGCAGGATAGTTAGGTGGTAATGGAACAAATGACGGTGGTTAATGAATGGTACACTTTAGACCATTGTGGGACAGACTGAATTGATGCTAATCAACACCCATGAAAGAGGGGCATTTTATCTCAAGAACACCGCATTGACATCAAAGAATTTCTTCTCTTCATTATGTAGGCTGCAGTTCATGTAATTTCTTCTCACCTTGGAGCTACTCTGTGTGAATGGAACACACCTACACCTGTAATTTGGCAAGAGCATCTACATAATTCTAGTTCAGGTTGGTCTAGCATATATGCTTTTTGAGTTTGAGAGTCAATCCCCGCTCTATTCTTGCCGAATTAAATCAGTTCTCTCTTTTTTTTTTAAACTGTTAAATAGTTAAGGTTCTAAGAGATGAGCTGGTCAAAATTTGTGTGCGCATTGGGCTTACTGTCCTAAGGGAAAAGTATTGTCAAATGGCTTAGTATACCCTCCTGATTGTGGCTACATAACTTCTGGTTGATTTTCAGGGACACAATACACATCCAAGTTGGATGAATTTGAAACATATGTTGAAAAAATAAGGAGATATGGCTTGTTGTCAACTTTCTTGAAGGGGGAGTCAAAAGCACCCATCATAGTTTTAATTGATGATCTTCCTGTGACAAATAGCAAAGCTACTTTTGGGCGACTTCAAGATTGCTTGCACCTGTTGGTGCGCTCAACTCAGATTCCCACAGTTATAGTGTTCACAGACTATGGCAATGCTGATTCAGGAGACCATGATGCCCAATGCTTGGAAAAGATTCAGCTTTCTCTTCTGAGTGCTGGTGCCTGTAAGGTTACTTCTTTGGAAAGTTCCCTTTTGGGTTTTGTTTTTTTGCTAAGAGAGAGTACTCAAACTAAATTTAATTTGATAAACTGTCAGATTGCATTCAATCCTATCACAGCGAATTCCATCAAGAAAGTACTGTTTAGAATTTGCCAACTTGAGCAGTGTGATGTGGCAGCTGAACATGTTGATCTGATTGCTAAATCCTGTGGAGGTGACATCAGACATGCAATCACATCATTGCAGTTCTTCTGTCTCAAGCAGAATCAAGTACATTCGTTGTTATCCAGTAACTTTTTCTGTGTATCGAAAGAGAAAGAAAAGGCTGTTACTTTAGATGATGGATATTCCTTGCACTTTAGCAGAGATGAGACACTGTCTTTATTTCATGCATTGGGCAAATTTTTGCACAACAAAAGAGAGACTGAATGTGCAACCAAAGATGGTACCACTTATATTTTTTAAAAAAAATTCGGAGATTGAAATTTCATTTGTTTCCTTTCTTTCATCCTGGGAAAACAGCAATACAAATGGTTGAAGTTGAATGTTAGCTATTTAAATTTAAGTTCATTTTTTGTGCTTCAGAGCACTCTGCGTTTCTTATCCAAGAAAGATTTGCAAGATTACCCTTAAAAATGGATGCCCCGGAGAAGATTCTTTGCCATGCCCATGTGCAGCCTGGTCCTGTTGCTGATTTTCTGCATGAAAATGGTAATTTTTGTTAATACAATTATAGAGGGTTCATGCATAATTGTTCTATCGAAAAAGAAAGTAGTAATGGATATGTATTTTTTAAACAAATTCTTTGGGATTGTAATGCTTACTAGTAAATTTCTTGCAGTGCTAGATTTTATGAATGAGGAGGCAATTGATGATGCGTGGGTGGTGTCTTCATATCTAGGTGATTCTGACATTCTTCTTGCTAAACTTCGAGGAATGGTGTCGAGATATAATGAGGCAGAGGGTGTTCTACCATCAGCTGCTGCTTCGGTTGCTGTTCGTGGAGTATTATTTGGAAATTCTCATACACTATCTGCCAGGTTGTCTTTTATATGCATGGTTGGCACAATCTAGAATTTACTTCCTACATTAAAAAATTGAAGACATTTTTTGGGAGATTGGATGATAAAATGTGAGGCATTTTTTGTTTTAAGGTGTAATTAATGTATTTTTTCCAAAAGTGTCCATAATAAATAAATCACTTTATATTTATTTTGAAATGAAACACCCCATTAAATAAGAGTAAATATGGAAAGATGGTGTTAGTTTGAAGACAATTAACTATTTTATTAGGGGTGATATTCGGTTAAAAATGACTTACATTTTTTATCAAAGAGTCTATCTTTCAATTATGAAGTCTGAGTCTGAAATTGAAGTTCTGCAGGTGGCATGCTGTGCGGGGACCCAGACTGTGGGGAGTGGAGAGGGAATTATTTTATAACAAGGTTTTCACTGTTCTCTCATGTATTCCATTCTATCATCCTAAGATGTGTTTTTTTTTTTTTTTAATTAAGAAACTAATTAGGAATACATGCATGCATATAATCATATATTCCCACTTGAGAGGAAAAAAGGACTCAATTGACTACTGGAATAAATTATGTTTTCCTGGCAAAAGCTTCATTTCTATTCTGTTGCTTTTTCCTTCTTGAATAAGTTCTAAGGGTTCGTTGCATATTAATCTTCTCACTAGAAGGTGGCAATCTTTCGTCTTATAATTTCATTCTTAATTATCTGGCATGAGACATTTTTCCACCCACAACATTAGACATTTAATTCAATTGGTTAACTGGCTTGGTAGACTTGAGCATCATCCACTTGCAAATTGCTTGTGTTCATTATATTGAATTCTCTTAACATTTGACCTCAATCTTGATCCACTGTTTCAGAATAAGATCATCAAACAGCGAGTTGCAGATTTTGAAGGTTTGGTTTCTTGTAATACATCAGTTATGGCCACAGAGTACACGCCTTTGTTAAAATGGATTGGAAATAGGGCGTGCGGTGAATATCGTCAATCTCCTCAGTTATCAGTTCATGAGTTAGATATGGATCTCATTGATTTTGACCAAATGGTCTTAGATGACCAAAATGACGATGAGATAGAAGACTGGTAGAGATATATAAACATATTACAGGGTGCTAGTAAGTCCAATGTCTCCACGCTTATCCTAGTTTATCTATTATTGATCGAGGCACTTGTAAATTTATAAATGTGGAAAATTGAGGTGGGAGCGTTTCAGATGGTTGCAGGATTGGGAGCCTTCTGTGTAAATTTTGTCATCCCTACACCGGTACATGCCCGCAAGATGTTTCTTTAATTACGTATAGGTGTATATCTATTGGAGATAATTCTGTTATGAGATGTTTTTGTACGTGTGGTGTTTTGGCGGGTATATTAGGGGGAGAAAGATTAACTTGGATTTTATGTTGTGGTATACTAGGCGATTTATGATTTAAGTCAATATTTTATATGAAGAAGCTAACATGCTTTATTAACTTGTGTGGAGTCCATCAATTGATCTTTGCAGTATAAAATAATTTTAATTATAAGGATTGAGATAATTATCATGATCAACGTGTGAATATGCATTAAGTGGAAAATAGAGAATACAGTTCATGGACATACATAATGTTTATTAATATGATTTTCAGCTCTTTTTTTGAGTGAAAAGTGAACCACAATAAATTTTATTTCATTAAGTGGGGTCGGTTATACAAATTATATAACGTTGTTGGTGTTTTATTATTTATTAAATTTTTAGAAATATTATTAATTAAAAAGTTTCGCTCAATAACTTTTAAAAGTGTTATCTTTGATTTTATTCTATTCTTCTTGACAGGATTTAAAGTTATTTGTTTTATTTTTCTCACAGGTGCCTTCCGTGGTCTTCTTTGTTTATGTTCGAATTACCTTTAAACAATTTTTTATCATTTTTTCTTAAATAGGTTTCACGTTCACATTTTCTTGTATTTGCTCATTTTGAATTATCTTCACGTGTATATCCACACATTCATCTTAATATTTTCATTTTGTTATTTTAACTTTATACTCTTGCTGTTCTATCAAAACTTAACATTCACTACCATATAAAACTATTGGTCTTGTAGTAGTTTGGTGAAACTTTCCTTCAAACTTATTAGGTACCTTACGATCGTAGATAACTTCTTTAACCTTTCTCCAATTAAACCACCTTGCTTGTATCCTATATGCAATATCTCTATTAATTTTTCTATTTTGTTGAATAATCGCTTTCAAATATTTAAATTTTTTCACTTGAGGTATGGTTTGATCAGTCACTGTTACTTTCAGGTTACTACTCATTGATCACTATGTAAATATTCTATTTTTCTCCTACTTAGGTGAAAACCTTTTGATTCTAATGTCTTCCTTCATAATTCAAGTTTATAATTTATCTTTTATCTTGTCTCTGCAATAAGAACTATATCATCTGCAAAAAGCATGCATTTAAAATTTTTTCTTGAATATGCTTAATCAAAACATCTAAGATTAGATCAAACAAATAAGGATTTAAAGATGATCCTTGATGCAATTCAATCTTTATAAGAAAATTTTTTATTTTACTACCAAGCATTTTTATACTAGTTGTTGCCTCCTTATACATGTCTTGTATAGCTCGAATATAGGCAATCTGGACACCCTTCTTTTTCAATGCCTTCCAAAGTATTTCTCTCTATACACAATCATAAGTTTTTTCCAAATCAATGAAAACTATATGTAGATCTTTATCTTTACGTCGATATTTTTCTATTCATTCCCTCAGTTGATAAATAGCTTCCATAGTCGCCCTCCTTGGCATGAAGTCGAACTAATTCTCAAAAATACCAATTGTAAATCTCAACCTATGCTCAATCACTCTTTCCTATAATTTCATAGTATGACTCATAAGTTTAATCCCTTTATAGTTAGCACAATTCTAAATATCTCCTTTATTTTTATAAATAGGAGCTAAGATGCTTGTCCTCCAATCATCCGGTATTCTTTTGGATTGTAAGATCTCATTAAATAACTTAGTTAACCATTACACTCTTTCACCCAAACATTTTACATTTCAATAAGGATACAATCATATCAATTGGTTCTACCATTTGCCATTTTTTAAGAGCTTCTCTTACTTCCCAAGCTCGTATTCTTCAATAAAATGATAAATTTTGCTCTCTTTCAAAAGTAACTAAATCGTCCAAGTTAATTGACGAACCCCATCATCATTGAAAAGTTTAGCAAAGTATGTCTCCTATCTGTCTTTAATATCATTATCTGTGACTAAAACCTTTTTCTCTTCATTCTTTATACACCTTATCTGTTTCAAATCTCTTAATTTTCATTCCTTACTCTTAACAATCTTATAAATTTTTTGTTCTCCATCCTTTCTTCACCCAAACTTCGCCTATGTTTTATAGCCGGTCCTAAGCCTGGATAAAAGAGAAGGGTTGTGTTAGGATCTCAACAGCTAATGTAAAACTTTGTTGAATCTCACGTGGAAAAGTGAACCACACTTATATGAAAATAGTCATATTTTGATAGTTAGTGGTTATTAAGGGGTAGTTAAGTTATTTGCTTATATTTAAATGATTGTTCTGCCTAGTCTAAATACTAGGATTTATCTCAATTGTAACTAGTCTAATGATGTCAATATAATGTCTTACTCATATTTTCATTCTAATTTTTCCTTGATTTCTTCTCAATTCTCTCGAATTCCTTTTAAACTCTCCTTTCTTTTCTTTAATTCTACTCTATTTTTCTCTATCTTACTTTTCTTTTTATTATCACATCAATGATATTGAAGCCTTCATTCCTTAGCCATTTTTTTCTCTTCTTTTTTGTCTTGATGGTATATGGTGACAACTTGTAATTAGACCCAACAAGAAATGAAAGAAAGATTGTATGAGATTGAATAAAGACTTGCTAAACTCAATATGGTTGACACACTCGGTGAGCAAGTTGTGGGTCTCTCAAATCAAATTCAATTACTTATGTGTGACAAAGAGGAAGAGTCAACCAATCACAGACAATGTGCTAGAGATGGCAAAAATAGGCATCATCGCTTTCGTAGAAAGGACACAAGACATAGAGAAGAGTATCGACAGCCTACCTAGTTCACAAAAATGGAATTTCCCAAGTTCTCTTGATCCAATGTGTTGGGTTGGATCATGCGATGTGAGAGATATTTTGAACTTGATAACATCCCTAAAGAGGAAAAAGTGAAGATAGCATCAATCTTCCTGAACGAAATAGTATGGTCTTGGCACACCACAATGGAGAAGATGTAATCTCCTTACTTTAATCACCATTAATCTTAAAACCAAGGTAATCAAAGGTCTAAACTCAATGAGATTACCAAGTTTTTATCAATTGTACAAATGGATTAAACAAATTTTAAAAATTTACAAATAGGAACCCAAGATTTCAACATTTAAAATACTCTCAATCACTTTCATTATATTCAAATCAAAGCGAAAAGCATTTGTGGAAGCCTAGGAATCGAGTAGAGAATCAAAATACTTAAATAAAATTTGAAAATTGTGAATTGTGCAGAGAATGGTGCATGAGCCTCTGTGAAGTGTTTGACAACATTTTGCTGCCAAATTGATAGCACAAGGGACGAACTTTTGATATGTCCCAAAACTCCGTCCGATGTCTGATTGAGGTGATTTTGGTGTCTACAGAGAGCTTTCTCCTAGCTTTAACTAATGGCACAAGTTTAACAATTAAATTTATTTTTCTATTAAAAGTTAGACACTCAACACCAATTTCACTCCTTTTTCACAAACATACACAACTTAGGTCCATACTCACACACATGTGCTAAAAGTCTACACCAACTTTTAGACCACGCTCAATAGATCATTTAAGACTCGTGCAACGCACCACATTAACTCAAATACACATATATCATAATTCCACCACTCAACCTTAAATTCATAAAAACATAAAGGGAAGGAAAATTTGCACAAATCACCAATATTTATCCAAAACAACCTAAAATACACTTTACTTGCATAAGTATTTTGGCCCCATAATAGCTTTACAATCACATATTACTAACTAAGGACACAAAAGGCACATAAATTTGTCATAATGGTAATGCAAGTAGATCAAAACAATGATATGAGTCCTAGTTGGCCAACTAACATCGTTCAATACACAATTAAAATAAGGAGGCCCACAAGTAGGATTTGCACCAAAAATCCTAGGCTTCAAAGCATTTTCCCCGATCCAAATTTGATAAGCTAGGCCCTGAAATATTAAAGAATGAGGGGTGAGTACAACCACTCAGTAACCAAGGTTTACCTAGTCTATACAGTTGCATACCAATTAAAAATGGATGCAAATTGCAAGAAAACTCATGTAACATGCACGTATATCAAATATAGCCTCGACCACAACAATAAAAATCATGTGATTGGGCATAAAAGACATATCATCATGTATATCAATTATGTACAACATGGGGTCACAAAATTAACAATCATGTACCCCTATAACATGCCAGACCACAATAATAACAACGATGTGGTCGGGACTAAATGTATGATCAATGCTGGCCTTATATCCTCCTGTTACCTCCAACATAAAACTAGTGGCTATTAAATGGCTACGTCCACAACTTGGAATAACCCAGCTTTTCAATTATGAGGAGCTACCGGGCCATGATTAACTCACTCACTTGAATACCATGATTTCCCCCAATGCTAACAACCATAGGGTGTCGTGCCCCTAATCTAGCCTCTTTATAAACTGGTAGAGACTATTTAAGTCCCTCAAAGAACAAGTGGGATAGTCTTGAATCAATTATGGGATAAAGACTACCTCTCGATTCCAATGGTCAATGCGAAGGAAAACTTCTAATTCCAATGGTAGGTTGCTAGTACCATGTGAATTTACTAATCTACTCCTTTCCGTAGGCGAACTCTCACCAATGATCATGCTATACATATCTTGACACTTAACATGTCATTTTGACATAATTCATCACATATCAACTTAGATATCCTCACTCATATTATTCACACTCTACCTGTCACATATCATATTTTCCTCATTTTCACAATGGCATGCTATCAATCATAATCACTAATCACATATATGCAACATGTATAAGATTCCCTAGTTTCTAAAACAATTTCACACAAATTCATTACATTGCCAATATTGCTTCAATAGTTTTCACACATTAAACAAGTTTCAAAACATTAATTCCAACAAATAACTAATTAACATACAATTATATAAACAAGATTTTCATAATTACCTCAAATCTTTAAGAATTTAAAGATTTACCCCTCAAAATGACTACTTCCAAAGCTTCTCTCCAAGCTTGAATGGTGTTAATACTAGTAATCTATATGAAATCACAAGGATATTTATCAATATTCCTCTTTGAGTAAATTTCCCAACATTTAACTCTAAATTCTCACTTTAACAACATCATAATTTCACTAACTAGCATACCTAATGGGTTTATTAGGTTCCATTG